GATCTAACCATATGGTCACCGATGCCCGGACCCGGAGAAAAGAAAAAAAAGAAGTAAAAGAAAATAATATAATAATCACCACCAAGAGTGTGATGGAACTTCACCTACGTCTGACTGGCTACTCCAGACCGTGGAGGATCTTATCCTTGACTGCCGTTGGATCATCATGACCCATCCGGAGTTCAAGGTGGAGGTCAATTTTTCAATAGCTCGGTATGGCGCGCACTGTCCATTCCGCTGGGAGGGGAGATTAGTGGTGCGCCCCGTAATGAAACGAAGAGATGACGCCCTTCGGAGGATTGGGATCCTCTTGAGGTTCCTAAGGTTGAACCAGAACTGTTGAGACAAAAGTCGATCCTTTCTGTTATGGGGCGTCAGATTGGAAAGGTGGGGAAGGGTAGGTAAATGAACCAATGAAACGTAGACTGTGACATCCAGGGCCACTGGCCACAGCGCCAGGCAGTCCTGTACTTTCCACAACTGCCTCGAGAAAGACCGGCACATGCGATGATCACCTTTGTTCTCTTCTCTTCTGTTCTTCGAATATGCTAGTCCGCTGAGTCAGAATCGACCTGCAAGTGAGGTAGACTTTGGTATATTGTCCGTTGTTCAGTGTCAAAATCTACTTGGGGCTACCTTGACTTTTGGTATACGATGTCAGACCCTCCGATCCTAATCCACGGCTCCACCGGGATCACCCATGGCACGGGAGGTGATTGTATCTTGACCTTTTTATTCTTCGTTTATTCTTCTTTGTACTATTTATATTATATTGTCTACTAGAAAAGTGTCTTTCTTATAGCACATAGTGATATAGCTCTCTAATCAAAGTGAGACTGTACCTGCTTTTCGCGGAGGGTTTGGTGAAATCATGACTTTGATGTTTCATTCTCCGTATTTCTCCGCTCCCCCGAATTCCACCGTCTCCTTTTTTCTTTTCTTTTTTTCCTTTTTCTTTCTTTTTCTCTTATTTTATTTTCTGGTTCGACTAGAACAAATCCAGAAAATGGCAAATAAAAATCACGAAATAAATAAAATAGAGATGAAAAATAAAAATTAAATTAAATTAAAGCCCAAAACATAATATCGCATGTCATATCTGTCATTGATACTCCAGGCCTCAGCATTCTGTCTACCACCATCCAAGTACTCTCCGGTTCCAACCCTCCGAGATGTATTTAACATTAACATTAACATTAAGCCATTAGACTCCCGGGTGCCCATACCATACTTCTTTTTCTGCAGGGATTCTGAACTAGGGTATAAACTTGATATAAGAATACAATGGAACAATCCGATAATGGTATTGGATGTAATCCAATAATCCCAAAATAATCTAAATAATCTAATAATCTAATAATCTACAAAATGATTATCACACTGTACCATGATTTTCCCTGTGGAGATATCACCACTCAGACCTTCTCTCTTTCCCCCCTTCTTTTCTTACTTCCCCTCTCTCACACTTAATTAGCCAGGGTCCCCATTTAGGTACATAGTTATTCCCTTCCCACCCTTCTCTCAGTGGATCCAACGAAAAAGAAAGCTTGGGAATTGCCGCAACTCAAACCGTGGAACGGGTTTCTAGTAGATCCCCATCTTTCTCTGATCGAACCCGTGCAACCTGTTGACTCGCTGACTTGGACTTGAAGGCCCGTGCTTCTGGCCGATCACGATCCCTGGGAATTTCTCCAACTGAGGGGTCCCAACTCAAAACCCTCCTCTTCTTCTCCATACCCTGGTCGATCTCTTAGCTTAATTCTTTTTCCCTTTTCTTTTTCCTTATTAAACCTTTGGACCATTTGATCGGGGAATATATCACTCGCAAAAGCCCGGGGGGTTGCACCTGGCATTGTATCTCTTTCACACTCTACATCATGGTGAACGGGACCGCCGCCGCCGTGTTAGAGCCCACATTCACCGGGTATGTCGCAACCACTCAGGACGCCCTGATACTCTTCGAGGCATGCTTGACCGGTGTCTTGCATCATGTCCCGCGCCGGCCTCACGACAGAGAACGCAGTCATCTGGTGCGCAGCGGCAGCGTGTTCATCTATGAGGAAAATGCATCCGGCATCAAACGCTGGACCGATGGAGTCACCTGGAGCCCGAGTCGCATTCTGGGGAACTTCCTCGTTTACCGTGAGCTCGACAAGCCATTTCCTCCTGGGGAGAAGAAGCGCGCCATGAAGAAGGCCACTCGACGACCAGTGCCAGCCGGCCGGCCAGGCGAACCTTATCCGCGACACGATAGCAGCCAGGGCTATTCTCCGACATCTCCTGGCTCGGGGCCCTTCGCAGACCGTTCGTCCCATCAGTCCGAGCTCGAACGGGCATTGGTTGGATCTCTCGTTGATTCGTACGGCTTCAAGGACTCTGGGTTGGTCAAGAAGACGATGAGCGTGACGGTTTTGGGCGTGACCCACCATTTGGTCTCATACTACAGTGTGGAGGACGTGATGCGCGGCATCCTCAATCCACCCTCGATGGTGGACTCCCTACGCTTTATCCGACCCCGCACCGAACTCACCCAGAAACAAAGCTTCCGTTCCCCGATCGACGAGCTCGAGGCCAACGCCGTGGAGAACCAGGAGCCCTCCCACGCCGCTCTATACGGGTATCGCCCACAGATGATGGCTCCACCCACATACGCCATGCCAAACCCTTCAAACGACTTCTACATGCACCCCAGCCCGTATGCCGCCACACATCCCCCGCAGCAAGGCCCGATCCAGGGATACTCGATGGGCGCGCCGATGGCAGGCCAAACCGCGCCGAACCCGTACCTGCCAAGCCCAGGCCAAACCGCCATTCCGCCAAAGCAGGAAGACTACCACTCATTCCGCGCAGGGCCCTACGGCGGCAGCATGGACTCGATGAGCGCACATAGCATGGCCTCCATCCCAGGCAGCATCAACGCGGGACTCCCTAGCTCACTCAACGAACGCAACAGATCCACTTCGGACCACAGCCCTTCCGCCTACCGCAACTCTTCCATTTCTTCGCGCAGTCAAGCAACTGACGCTACTTCCCCAATGGATCCGTCAACCCCGGCCACCTACTCTCGCGGCAGCTTCAGCATGTCCGGCCAGTTGGAAAACCCACACCCAGCACTTGACCGTAACATGCCTGGTCTGGATCCTAACATTCGTCGCGAATCGAACCCCATTCATCCGTCCTACTACGCTACGGATCGCTCCCAGTACTACGTACCAGCGCCTTACGCTGCCACGCAACCCATGCCGACATGGACGACTACGGCGGCGACGCAACCCCAAATGGCGCAACCTCAAATCTAATCTCTTGATACCTTTCCGTGTCTCCGGTGTTGCTTATGGCCATGGAGCGTGGGAGTCAGGGCGGAATTTTGTTTTTCTTTTTCCTTTTTCTCAAGTTGCTTTTGCTTTTCCTGGAGATAGACCCTTCTGTTCTGTTTTGTTTGGGAGGAAAACGCCGTTTCATTGCTACAATATGTACCTGACAGCGGCCTGTCTCTTGTCTCTTGTCTCTTGTCTATATGGTTATGGTCTTTTTGCTTTATGGTCTGTTACGGAGGTGGCTCTTTTCTTTTTTTGCTTTTTACTGTTTTTGTTTTTATTTTACCCCCTTTGCCTGTTTTTTCTCTTTTCGGTGGCTCTTTTGATTCTGTTCTGGGAATCCGGGTGGGTGGCGTTCTTCTATTCTTTACGATGTCATGCAATAACCCGATAACCCCAAAACGGTTCTATTCTTTTTATTACTACTTCTTTTACCTTTGGACTTTGATTCCGACTTTTTTACTTCCTTCCTTGCTCTCCAACACTATATCTCTATTCGCTGCCAAGGCCGCTCCCTGTGTGTCTTTCTGCAATCACAAACGGTGTCCAACGGTTTCTTTTCCATCTGGTCTGGGCTTCCTATTCTTTCTCTATTCTCTGTTCCATCCAATTCCACGGAGGGCAGGTTTTAGTGATTCCGATCTTATTCCATGGCCAATGGTCGAAGATTGCTTCAATACGTCCTCTTTCTTCCTGGTGCTGTTTCTGGGGGCTGGTTCTGGATATTATCAATACGTACGTGTACTTCATACTCGATTCCCCGTTAGTCTATAGTATGGATTATAGGCTCTGTGCACTAGTGGTGGCTTTTTGATATTTCCAATTCCTAAATTCCAATATTAGCTGCTTCTGAACGATAGAATGCGTTTCTTTTTTAACTCTGTGTTCCTTTGAATTACTATATTCTGTACTTTATGCTGTACTACCTCCCTCTACCTTCTCTGCTCTGTGCATTTATTTGCATCACATGTGGTATAAGTTGTGAGATCAAGACGGATTTTTTAAAGAAAATATATTCTGCCTTCCCTTCTTGCGCGGTTTAACTAAGGCTAGCTTATAGTAAACGATGTGATATCTCTTCTCTTCTGGGGGCTGTATGCTGTGTTAATCCATTTGTATTCTTGCTTTTCTGCCTATACTTATATTAATGTATGGCTTTTCTTTTCTGCTACAAACTCCCTTCGAACTACATCCGCAGTCTGTTTGAACAGCGTAGTGCTTACAACAAATAAGAACATGCACATATCACTCACTCTTAGTATAGGTTTTCTACTGTTTCTAAAAAGCAGAGAATTGAAAATCATGAAATCATAACCAGGCACTATTCATACACTATCAGCACCTGGAACAGTAAGTGCAGACCCAGCCTGAACTCATATATCAACAATGGGTATCTCAACCAGCAAGAGTATACTCAAACCAACATAGCAAAACACAGGCAAGTAAACACGCAGAGGGAATCTAGACTCGCCAATGCAGAAAGGTAAATATCGCAAACATCCGCCTATCCACCCTTGACTTTGATCCAAAAGACCAAAAGACAAACAATGATACAAACATAATCAGCAACACAAACGAATCAAGACTCGTCAAAGCAGAAGAATGATGGATACCTCACACACCGCATTTGATCGAGGCGACAAGACAACGCGAAATACCAGACGAAAGAAAAGAGAGAACTCCCTAACTGCCAGACAACGGCGAGTTAACCATACTCATAACTCTCCGATGACGGCCACCGCCGCCAGCACGCACACGTTCACCCGCAGACGAAGCACCACCAACCGACTCCCGTCTCGCAACGCGCCCAGGAGTGCCAAGCGTGTGGATCGGGGTCTTCGGCAGACGACGCAATACCTGATACTCCTCCTCATCACCAGGACCAGTACCAAAACCATCCCCCTCCGCGATCTCCGAAAGAGTGCGGCCCCGCCGCTGCGAACGCGCACCCGTATGCGGGATCATCGATTCTGTTGCACTTGGCGAGGAGTTTGTGGAGGTGCTTGATGTTCCGCTCGCCACGCGCGTGCTGGGGAATCTCTGCGCTTGCATGCGCCGTAGGCTTGGTGTGCGGCGCGGTGCGAGGGCGGAGGGGGAGTGGCCTGGGTTTGTCCGCGCCAGGTTGGTGAGGTGTGTGGTGATGACGGGGTCGAGGCGGAGGTGGATGTTGAGAGGGATGGTGATGGCGGCTGTTTGAGGGATGGTGATGGCGGCTGTTTGAGGGATGGTGATGGCGGCTGTTTGAGGGATGGTAGAGGGAGTTGTTGGTGCTGGGTGAGGGTGGGGATGGGGGTTGTGGGAGGAGTGACCCTGGCCTTGACCTTGGTTTTGGTTTTGGGCCCGGGGGGATACCTGCTGGGGGCGAGATTGGGTTTCTTCCCTCCTCGGCTGGGTGGTCCAGAGGTTTTGTAGGGTGGTCTGCAGGAGGTTGTGCAGGGCTAGGTTGTGGGTCTCCAGTTGTTGTTGATACGGTATTGGGTTGAGAGACCCGTACTGGCCTGGGAAGGTGCCCTGAAAGTGATCCTCAGGGACGCCGGTCTCAGCTGGGATTTGGATCTGAGAGGAGTATCTATTAGTTTTGGCTCATTTCGTATGCATTGAGGGATTCATTGATCTCTTGGCCGGTGAACATACCTGACGGCTGAACTTCCTTCCTGGCATGGCGACGTACTCATCGAGCCTGCTCCCGAGTTCTGCAAAGTTGAAACCGCGAACTGGGTCCACGGGCTCAAATGGCTGTCCGACTTCTTGTTGGAAATTGACGCCTCGGCGCGGCAATGGTTGGTACTCGGGTAGTTTCAGCAGCAAGGATGGGTAACTGCCAATCATCGCGTCAATGACGGGGTCGACATCAATCGATAGGGAAATCTTGCTGTTTGCCGAGGGTTTTTGAATCAACATGACAAAGGTAAACTCGCGCGGCAGACCGGATCGCTGGACATTGTTCTCTTCCATGGACCAGACGATTCTGCCAGCTTCGATATCGAATTCGCGGCCAGATGGGTTCTTCAAAGTACGGGCGGAGCCTTGGATACGCATCATCTCATAGCGCTTATACCGACCATTGACGCTCCCCGAGGGAATGACGCTTGCGCTGACGGGCAATTCCGAGATTCCGAGGGAACCAGCCAGACTGAATGTCCACTCCATCGTCTCCGGGGAAACACTACCGTAAATCAGATGCGGCGCATGCATAAGGAAGCGTGGGTTGCCAGGTGGATACCCATAAGGGTACAGCTTCGAGTTTGAAAGGTCACGGCTTCCACGAACTGATACACTAATAGTAGCGGATTTGATGCGGTGCGTCGTGGTGTGCGGCGAATGAAAAGTGAACGCAATGGCGAGAAAATCTACATGTTCAGCGTCCTCATCTGAGATGGCGTCGCTGGAGTAATAGCCATGCTGAAGGCGTTGGACATGCGCGGTGATATAAGCATCGCCAGGCAGTCGCCGCTCATATATGAGAGCGCGGTTGATAATGAGGCGTGGATTCGCCATGTTTGGATCTGGTGGTTCCTTTTCTTTGACTGATGGTACACTGCGGATTGGAGTTAACGAGTGTGAGTCCAGGACGCGTCCATTTTGGACTGAAGTAAACGACATCGTGGCGACCGCAAAGCGACAAGACCGCAGTTTCGTTCTGGCAGGCTTCGCTCTCCATCTGGCTTTAGGGCTCCTTCTAGACGCGGACGCGGGTAATTTGACTTGACCTACATGGCATATTGTCCTAAATATCTTTTGTATGTGCTTAGACATAAGTTAGCGTTTGGTTTCGATGATGTGTTTTATCACCTGGGTTCTAGGTCACAGGAATGGTGGAGGTTATCAGGTGAGCATAGGCTTGATCATGATCACCGTGACGCAACTCCTGACATCGGGAACCTAAAGACGATATTGCCATTTTCAATGATTTGCAATTCAGTAGAGGCAGACATGTTGTCATATTCATTTCTATGTACGAACGTAGGAGAAGAACAAGAAGGATAGTTTGTTGCATGTGGAGGATATAGAGACTGGATAAACCATTTATCCGGCCAGAAACTCATCGCCAAGGTGCAATCTCCCAATGTTCATCTCTAACCTCAGGCGACCGTGATCTAGAACTTTTTGGTTATAGCTCATTGGGTTTCTGGTAGAACTGATCTACATTTTGTTTTCTCTTATATGTATGTCCCGTTCAGCCAAGTTACCCCGAATTCTGACACCTCCAGCTAACAATACCTAGATTGTGTTTGTACTATATAGCATTCTGTCGTTTTATTTGCATTCGTTGCGGTATCAGCTTGTTCGTTTGTCTTATTTGATTGGGATTTTGGATTTGCAGGTTACTAGCAATTGTGCGACGCGACAGCTTCCGTTGGTCTGTCCCCCTAGCTGATCACTTGCATCGAATCAGCATTGCATAGCCCGAAACCACCGGGTATGCACAGTTGAAACTCCTGGTCGAAAGCTTGTGATTATTGGTGTTGCTGGTCAATTTTGGGTTTCTACTAACACCTGCCGTTGTCACCTTTGTGTTCGTGTCACCATGATTGGCTCACGCGCAGCCCAGTTGTTCCTTCGGGCGAGCCGGCAGGCATCCCAGGCAGGTCTTTCTGTTCGGTCAAATGTCTTCAAGACTGAAGCTCTTCGGAGGGATGGATTCCGGTGTATATCTACATCAGTCCAGTCGACACTAAACCGAGTACCAAATGGGTATGGTCGTCAGTCGCTTCTTCATTTATGCAATTCTGACTGTTTAGTAGAGGATTAAGACCTCGTTGTCTGCAGACAGCCGTGATCCCACCATCATTCTTTACGCAGCAAAGATGGTCCGGGTCAAAATCGCCAGAAAACAAAACCCCTGAACAGTAGGTCTACACCCTCCAAGCCGAGATACCCAATATCCATATGAGACATAGGTCAAGTGAATCAGCAGCTAACCCGGCGTAGACCCGAGGGATCTAAGAAAACACCTATTCTATCGCGGATTCCCCTGCCAACCTCCCACGAGAATATCTACACTGTGCCCAACATTCTCACATTCTCCCGGCTACTCGCCGCCCCCGTGGTCGGGTATCTCCTTGTCCACAACTACCACACAGCAGCTCTATCCTTGTTCGCCTACGCGGGCATCACCGATCTCGTCGATGGCTACATCGCCCGGCGATATAACCTCCAAACCGTGGTTGGAACCATCATTGATCCTATGGCCGATAAGCTATTGATGACCATTGGTGTTGCGTGTCTAGCTGTGAATGGCTCCCTTCCTGGTAAGTCTACTCGTGGTTGATCGTTTGATGATATTTAGATATGGACATGGACATGGATTGACGCGTTGAATAGTCTGGCTCGCTGTGATCATCCTCGGTCGCGATGTTGGTCTGGCAATCTCGGCTATCTACTACCGTTGGATTTCGCTGCCTGAGCCTAAGACTATGGCCCGGTACTGGGACTTTTCGCTTCCCTCGGCAGAAGTCAAGCCTACTGAGATCTCGAAGATCAATACTGCCCTGCAGTTGGTGTTGGTGGGTAGTGCGATTGCGCTGCCTGTGGTCCCTGAGGCGTTTGTCAGTGCTTGGCATTTGAGCGAGGCTATGACTGGATTCCAGTAAGTTTGATCTTTTCTTTTTTATACCCCTTTTTTTGTGTCTTGTCTTTCTTTTTGTTTTATGTGGATGGCCATTACTTGCGAATTCCGCCCTAAGCTGCATCGAGGCCGCTTCAAGTACATACGACCATAGGGTGTGGAAAACAGGGCTTCCCGTCCGCTCAGCCGTACTTAAGCCACACGCCGGTGAGTTAGTAGTTGGGTGGGTGACCACCAGCGAATCCTCACTGTTGTATGTTTTTGT